TCCTGTATAGGAATCACTGACCACCAAGGAACGAACTCTGAAGCGGGAAGTCCGCATGAGGAACTCTTGTTTCCGTCAGAGAGGCGGATCGAGGAATATGCAAGGGGCACTTCAATAGCTCGGCAATAAACACTTGGCGAAGCTGAAGAGGTAATCTCTCCATGGGCTTTCATGTGCCACTGGATACCTCTCTTGGCACGGCCAGAGATATTTTGGAAGTGGTGGTGAGAGACAAATTGATTCTCATCATCTCCATCCACAGGAAAAGGCCAAGAATGCCATAGTGTATAAAGATTTCAAAATTCAAACTACCTGGAACTTCGGATGTAGTGCTTCCCACATTTGCACATCGTGATGTACAAGGAGATGGGGTTGTACTAAGCTATGGAGAGGAAAAATAGGGGAAATCAATGAAGGCATCACGGATAGAAATACTGAAATGGGCTGATGGGCCGACCAGGGAGAGACCCGCCAGAAAGGCTGAGAAAGGGAACTGTGTTTAAAGGAAAAGTCACAGCTTATGGCTCCTGTTTGGGGCGGGGTGGAGGCGGCTGCCTAGGACTGAGCAGTGCTTTTGGAACCAAGCACTCCCCCAAATTCATGCTCCAGATGGTTCTGTCAGCAGTGGGAGAAGGTGCGTTTAGAGCTGCTTGTCCTCAGTTAACCTCTTCTTCCATTCCCTGATGGTCTGAGAGAAAGGAGCGAACACTATAAATCTCCGGAAGGCTGCTACGCCTCCGGGCTACAGGGAGAAGTCTTGGCTGGCTGGGAGCGTTCATTCTGCCCAATTTGACTCTAACATTTATTGAGCACCTCCTGTGTGCAATACACATAGAAGGACCAGCATGTGTTGGGGGGGGAGGGGGTGGGAGGGGACTCAGGAATGAGGAAGACCATGACCTGGCCCTCCAAGAGCTTAATATGGTCTGAGGCCAGGCAAGGACTTCACCATACACTTTGCTATGAAATAGAAGAGACCTGAGGTAGTTTGGAAGAGTATTTTTTTTTCAAACTAACATTTTTTTTTAAGATTTTATTTATTTAGTTAACAGAGAGAGCACTTTTTTTTTGAGTGGCAAACAGAGGGAGAGGGAGAAGAAGACTCTCCGCTGAGCAGGGAGCCCGATGTGGGGCTCGATCCCAGGACCCTGGGATCATGACCTGAGCCTAAAGCAGACGCTTAACCAACTGAGTCACCCAGGCGCCCCTCAAATTAACGTTTAAATGTCCACGCCATTCCAGTGGAAAAAAGGAACTGAGGATGGTTAAAAAGAGAGGCACCACAGAGAGCTGGCATCCTCCAGGAGCTCCAAGAACCAGGGTAACTAGGAAGGCTTCAGGGTGGAGGTGAGGGCCAGCATCAGACGTCAAAGGATGGCCAGACTGTACTTGCCAGGAGTGTCTAAACACACATTTCAGGAAAAAGTGACAGCAATAACAAATTCAGAAGTGGGAGCGAGCCAAGCCAGGCTGGTCAAGGCACCACAGGAAGCGAGTACCAGCTTCCAAAAAGGTTTCTGGGAAAGGTCTCTGGTTCCCCACGTAACAGTTTGTCTATATCAGCAGAAGCGAGGGCGTGAAGAGTCTGGGACATGGTCTGTGCTCTTTACCGAGGTGCCCCACTTCCTGTGTGCCCTTCCCTCACTGCACCAATGTAGAACACCATGCATGTCTACAAATTGCCTGAAAGTCTTTCATGTATTGGCTTTGTCTATCACATCTCTCTAGAGAAGAGGGAAACCTACCTCCTGGGATCTCTAGAGGGCTGAAAGAGTTAGGACTGGTGGTCCCCGAAGAACCACTACTTCTTAGGAAAAACAAAAATGTGAGTCAGGACACACCCTCTCTGGTGAAAACCTCATCTGCCAGAAGCAAGCCTCCCCTTGTCAACCACTCGCCATCTCCAAGACAGCCCAGGGCTCAGAACCATAGGGACAACAGATGCATCCCATCTTCAAGTAAAAGGCTAGAAGCAGTGTAGATGACAGTAGGACTTGCCTGGGTATTAATGTAATGGAGGAAAAAGGCAACAATACAACCATTTTGACTGCTCTTTGTCTTTTGGTGTCCTGAAATTTCCAGCTCATTGTGATTAAAATAATTAAAGGTCTGCCCAAGAATAGAGATAGCCCCTGGTTTGTGAGATCTTAAGACAAAAGGATGTGGATGAATTTGTTAGGTCAGATTGTGGAAGTCCTTGAGCTCCATGTTGTTGAAGATGGTGGCAGGATGGTGGGGCTGGTGTGTTGAGGAAAGCCTAGAAGGCGAAAGACCAGGTAGATGTGTTTGGGGAGTAATGGACATGGCTGTGGCTGCAGCAGGTGTGAGTTGGCAGGGCAAGAGGAAGAGGTGAGTCTACAGAAGGAGGATGGACCCAGGGTGTAAATCACAGGCTGAGGGTGCATTCTCAGTTCCATTGGTTGGGGAGGCCCTCCAAGGGCATAGACGCTCTGAATGATACCTCATAGCCTCAGTCTCTCCTGCTCCCCCTCCGCTTTCCAGATACATCCCAATGCTTTCCTGTGGTGTGGTGTCTCCCTCTCAGCCAAAACAGGTAGTGTGGATGAGAGGAGGGGTCAACAGAGGCCAGGGTGGGCGCATGAAGAATGAGGAGAGCATCTCACCTTTCTGCTCATGCTGCTAGCACGGAGCCGCTGTGCGGGCCCAGGGAGCCAGACACTGGACCGAGAGCCGTGGGTGGGAGGCTCTGAGGAGTGGGTACAGGTTCTGGACAGCATCAGGACCCAGAAGCAACAGCATTTTCCAGAACAGCCAAAGTGACACAGCCCCTATTTCATGGGTTTGTTCCAAAGCAGTGTTTTCCCTGCATTTTTGTCCCCCAGGAAACATATGTCAACACCTGGACACGTTCCGGCTTGTCACAACTGGGAAGTGAGTGCTACTGGCATCCAGTAGGTAGGTCCCAGGGACGCTGCTAAATATCCTACAATGCACAGGACACCCCCCTACAACAAGGAATTCTCTGGCCCCAAATGTCTGTAGCACCACAGGCGAGAAGCCCCTCTCCAAAGGATCTGTTTCAGGCATCCTGGAGAGGCAGGAGGCCCCTAGACCAGCTTCCTGGACTTCTGGTTGATACATCCCCAGGTCATCATCGCCTCCTTCAGGGGCAGCTCTGGAAACAGATGCCACGTGAGCAAGCTCCTAACAGTGACACCCTCTAGCAGGGAACAAGGGAGAAGGATGGGAATGCAAATTCAGGCAAGGGGGCTTCAGCTTCCCTGCCCTTCCCACTCAGCCCCATTCAGTAGTGAGAGGTGCTACACAGAAGCTTCTCTTGGGACCTACACCTTCAAAAGCTGGGACACGCTGTCCCAGGTCAGATGAGGGGATGCTGCCTGGGCAATCTCCAAGACCCCAGGGACTTTGCATAACCCATAGTCCTTACTTTCCTAGCCATCTAGAGAGCAGCAGGGCTCAGCCAGCCTCCCAGCTGCGTGTGTGTGTATGTGTGTGCGTGCACACGCGCACACGTAAACATGACAGTAAAGGACAGGACTCACTGCATGAGGAAACCTGCCTTGGGAGTCACCCACCTACATCAGTCCCACAGCTCAGCTCTCTAGGGACTCCAACACTATCAGAAACCAGTGACATCTCCTTTCATCAGATGCCCAGTGAGCAAGGGGTTGGTGGTGACGCAACAAGGTGGTGGCCTTTACTGGCAGACAAACCCTGAGTCACAGTCAGTGGGGAAAGACCTTCAGAGTCTGAGGTATATCTGTGTGGCCCCTGCCTCCATCACTGACTTGTCACTTCACCTGTCCTTTCCCTCACCCTTAAAATGAGGTATGAATGACAGCTACCATTTGGAGACCACTTACCATGCGCCAAGCAGCTCAAGTGCACGTCATTCTCACAACAGCTCTGTGAGAACCTGTTTTATGCCCACGAGAGGGCTGGGGAAATGGGGGGAAATGGCTTGTCCATGGTCACACTGGCAGCTAGTGGTGGAGATAGGACTGGAACTTAGCACATTACAGTCTGCCTCCAAGGGGGAGGTAGGAGCTCTCAGGGACAACCCTGCAACCTAGCGTCATTACACTCCTATGGGAAGGGTACCAGAGCAAAGGCTTCCATGTGCACGGCATTTATTAATGGTGGAAACTTAAGTTAGGGGACTGGCCCAGGTTGGGTGGGCCCACCGTGCCAAGGGCTACCAGGCAGATGCGGCTGTAAACACTCCTGAGACCCGGAGCCAAAGGCCCTGCCGCTGCTGGCTGGCCTGGTTAGGCCCCACTAAAAATAGATGGGTTCTCAGGTCCAGCTCCCTGAGCACAGCGGGCAGGCTGCTCCGGGCACCGACCTCCTCCTCTGCCCCTCCCCCCTTCCCCACTAAGCATGAGCCAGGCTTCTAGAAGGAACAGAGATGTTAAGACTTTCACCACAAGCCAGAAAGAACTGTTAAGTGGATGCCCAGTGGTCATGTTCCAAGGCCTAGTGCAGCCGTAATCGCAGAGATCCTGACCCCAACACCCTGCCCATCTCCCTCTTCTAGAGGAGGCCATCAACTTCCAAAACCCACCCGGGGAAGGAGTGGGGCCACCCTGCGCTCCTTCTTCCTTTTCCAGAACTGACTTTCACTGTTGACAGCGCTGAGTGATTTCTTTGCTGCAGCTTCCCGAGGAGGTCTGCTGCGGGCCCTCGCGGGAATCCCCGGAGACGGCGGGAGACTAGGCAGCGACCGGCCAGCGGGAGAACAGCGCTGGAGCCCGGGACGAGCGCTCCAAGCGCACGGGGCAGGAGGCTCTCTGGAGCCGCGGCCTGGGTGCAGGTCAGGGCTCGGCTGTGGATTTCCTTTCAAAGGTGACTTAGAGCGGCTTCATTAGGGTAGCGCCCTCCCGGGCGGGCCCTAATGGCGTGTTTGGCAGAGTCAGCGAAACGCGGCGCCCAGCGGCTCGGCGGCGGGGGAGCGCCCTCTCCCGCGCCCTCGCCGTCTCCCGCGCCGGCCAGCGGCGCGCACGGGGCCATTTGCAGCGCAGGCAGCCTCGAGAGCGGCCGCGGCGCCACGGCGGGGAGCGAGGCGGCACCATGGAGCTGAAGAAGGACAGCAACGCCGTGTCCATCGACATGCTGCTGATCGTGCACTCGGAGAAGCGGCGCGCCGCGCAGGGCACGCACTCGGACCGGCAGGCGGACCTGGGCGCGCTGCCGCAGCGCAGAGGAGGTAACGCGCGCCCGGCCGGGGCCCCCCCGACCCCCGCACCTCGGCCTCCTCGCCCCCCCGGGGCCCGGCCGCCCAGGGCGTCCCCGAACGAGGCCAGCGAGACCGACCCTCTCCCCACCGCTGCCTGCGCCTCTGCTAGGTGGCACCGGCGTCCCGTGGCAACGCGCAGCCGGGTGATCGCCCCGAGTTGACTCCCCGCGCAGGCTAGTCGGTGCTTCCGTCACCCCCCGGGGAGCCGGCTTCCTCCCATCCACTCTTTGAAGGGTGCACAACAGGGTTGGAAGATGCCTTGGAGGAAGGGGGCCAGAGCCTCAGGCCTGACCCTTGTGTGGCCGAGGCCTGCTCCTCACATGGCACATTGCAGAGCGCAAGGGACCCAGGGGAATGTGCGTGCTGAATCAGACTTTGAGACGGGGAACTCCCTTGGTGTCCTTGCACAACGCCTGGCCTCAGTTTCCCCTATCTTGAAGCCTCTCCCAGGCTCCTACAGTAGAAGGCATAAAGGGTGGTGTAAGAGGCACACAGGCTGGGGTAGGGTCAGCTTAAAATCTGCTCTCTCTGCTCTCACGGATCTATTAATTTTACTCTTCCTACAGACTTTCTGAGGAAGGGTAGACTGGAAAAATGAAGTGACTGTTTATGGAGCAATTATGGAAAGCAGCACTCAGGCCTCTGTAATCTCCAGAGAGGACACACTGAAGAGAATACAGATGGAGAAGAGCAGATGTTAGATAAGCCCCTCAGAAGTTGGGGAACAGGTCGTAGGTCTGTGAGGAAGCCCTCCTGAGCCTTCTTGGGGGCTACTGTGAGGTTTGTGCTAGGCTGACCGTGGGCCAGTGCTTTGGGAGTGATGTTTAACAGCCCCTGCGGTAAAATGACTTCTGCCTCCTGCCTGCCCTCCAGCTCCAGAGCTCCTCAGAGTCTGCCTCTGGCTCTTCTGTCCACGGAGGTCCTGTGCATGGAACCCCCCCCTCCACCTGCCACATGGAAGCAGTGGTGCCATGACTCCCCCCCCCCCCACCAGTCACACAGGCTGGAACTGCCGCATAGTTCCTGATGACTTCTTGGGGAGGCAGGCGGGGGAAAGAAATAGATTCTGGAGAGCTGCACATGTTGTCAGGTACTCCCCGTCTCCAGAGGGATTTGGGGCCAGGAATTGTTTGGGTTAGTTGGTTCTTTCATTCTCAGAGCTTCTCCCAGGAGAGGTGGAAATGGCCCACCCTGGTATTCGTAATGAGGAAATTGGCAGAGGCCGCCTGCTCCTTGATTGAAAAGAAGCTGCCTCTCCTCCAGACACTGCAGTCCAGAAGGCCTCCCCCAGTGTGTGGCAAGGCCAGAGGGCCCCCACGAGGCCCAGCTCCGGGTCAGCCTATGAGTCCCCACCTCCCTTCCCCACTCTGATCATATCTCTCCTAAAGCCTCCAACACTAGAAAGGGAGGAAGAAGAACACAGAGGAGCCCCAGAAATTCCAGGGATCAGGACTATTCCCAGAGGTGTCCCATCCCTAGCACACACCCTACACGGCTCCAGACCAGTGCATTTCATACTCATGACCATGACACAAGGAAAGAAGACCCTGCTTGCCAAGCCCCTTTCTGCTATTTGTCTCCAAACTTTTCCTGAAGGAGGTTTCTCCCAGACACCAGGCCAGTGGAAAGACCAGTGTCACTTATTTACAGACAGTTCTATACCAAAGCAGAAGGAGAGCGACCAGCCTCCAAGCATGCTGGGCAGTGTTGATGTCCAAGAGACCCCTGACTAAGCCCACACAGCCTAAGGCAGGGAAACACTGAATTAAACTAGCTTGTTCCAAGGCCTCCTGTTGGGGCACAAGATCCAAAATGCCCCCACACCTCTTCCAGGCCTCTCCTCCTGTCTCCCCTCCAGCCCAGGTCCTTGGCTCTGCGAAGGAGGGCCTGACCCCCATTACTGTCACAATGCAGAGGACCGAGTGAAGATCGGGTGGCTTTCTGCTGTGTCCTTGTGGCAGAAAAGAATCAGAGGGACAAGTAGGCAAAGACAGTGTGTGCCAGGGATCTGGGCTGCCAACAGAAGCTCTCTGCTCTTTCCTCTACAGCCCTTCCATTCTCCTTTGGGCAGTACTTCTCAAAAGCATGCCTGGACACCCTCACCTCCTATCCTGTGTCATGGAGGAGGTGGCCTAAAGCTGCCTGCACCCAGTCTAAAATAGCTCCAAAGTCAGGTTTCATCCCCCAGGTCGGTGCGATGTGTGCATTCCAGTCCACACGTGAGTCCACAAGGGTTCCGAGTGGTAAGCCCCAGATCCTAGCTGCAGAGAGTGCTGCAGAAAAGAAGAGCATCGGGAAGGGACTGGGGGACTTGCAGTGGCTGCAAGAGCTGGAGACCCAGGCTAGAGGCTGAGCTTCCAGGAACAGCGTCAGCAGCTGCCCAGCAGAGCTGGTCTGGCAAGGAAACCTCTGTTGCCACCAAGGGGCCCTCGGTACTCCTTCCTCATCAGGAGCTATCATCCAGGGAGAATTTTCACAATGTGCCAATTATCACTTGCGTTTCCCATACGGATAGACCGTATTTGCCCACCCTCCACCTTCCGTCATGACTCTAAAAGTGAGAGATTCCCCACATACGGAAATAGGCAGGCAAAATGAATGGTGAGCATCTTCCACAGTTATGCTTCCATGTTTATGCGGCCGAGATGTGGAGTGAAAAACGGGCATCTGTATTGTGAAAATTCTCCCTGGATGATCCCGATAACCCACCTCACCACCTTTGAAAACTACCGTTTTAATATTTTCCTTTAATGTTTTAAAGTGCGTCTCATTTGCGGGCAGCCTCTCTTGGATCCTGACAGAGCCGGGTTCCACCAGCCCCACCTCAACCCAGATACGTTAGCAGCTGGCCCATCACTTGCTGGCCTGGGTCTTCCCATCATGGAGACCCTCATGCGAGACCCTGTTATTTCATAGGACTCCAGGGCATCGGAAACGGAATCCGGAGATGGCAGAAATTCGAAGGAAGTGACGTGCATGGTAAATTCTCTCTTTTCATTTTCTTTTCTTTTCAGTCTCTGTAATTCAACACATTGAAAAATGACAGGAAGCATTCAATTTCACGTGTTTGAAAACTGGCTGTAGATATCTAACCACTCAGAAAGTGGCTGCTCGTGATTCAGCCATGCCTCTGGGGCCACTGTGACCCCAGAAAGTTTTCCCTGGCATCATGTCCCCCAATTTCCTGGAGGCTGTGGGATGGGAGGGGAGCAGTGCCCTAAGGTTGAGCACCCACTTGTTCACTGGCTACATATAGGGAAGGACTTGGCATCATCACTCGGCATGGCGAGGTTTGAGCATGTTCCCCCTGGAGGTGGGGCTGCTCACGTCAGGCAAGGCATCCATCCTTTGAAAATTTTTTCAAACAGAGAGGACAGTGGCCTCTTTGGGGACATTATTACTCCAAGCCTAGGGAGAGGGGTGCTATGGTTCCCAGCTGGCTGGGGACCCAGAATATAGTAAGATCTGTGCGAAGTCTGTTTCCAAAGCCTCCTTTCTCTGGTGCCGGGTGTCTGTCACCCTGCAGTCCCAGGACAGCTCGGGGAATACCATGCATGGACGGACTCTACTAGGCCTTATTCTGTATGCATCAGAGACTCATTAGCCCAGCTTCCAAGAAAAAACATCAGTGAAGCTTCACTGTGGGCATGTGAGAATTCTAGTAAGAATCAGACCTCCACTCCCAGAACCCCAATAGGGGACTCAGTCAGATCTGGGCTCATCAAATGCTAGTGTGAAGAAACCACCTGTGTGACCCTCTGCATATGGGTAATCAGGACCACAACTGAATGAGACCAAACATCTATGCTCTGCTATCCTGACAGTAACAAAAGGGAAGGATGAAGTTCTAAAAGAAAATTCATTCATTAATTCCCTCAGTAAAAGTCTACAGTGTTTCCTTGGTGCCAGGTGGGGTTCTAGGTGTTGGGATAAAGACAGTCAAGAACCCCTGCCCTGATGGGACCATGTTAATGATTATAATCATAATGCTTTTCACTGCAATAGAATCTCAACACCCTGGAGGTAAAGAGCTTTCCTGTGTCCCCTGCCCTATGCATAAGGACAGATCAGACCCAAGACAGGCTCCTGCCCCGGGAACCATCCCTTGGGGTCCTGGCTAATGGGCATGCATGGTGGGATGGCTTCCTTAACCTTGCTTTAGGGTCATAAGATGGTAGATGTGCCTGCTCTAGCTGGACCGAAGCAGATGCCAAAGTTAGCGAAACTAGGCTGCAGGCTCATGAGAATTATAAGAGTCAGACCACCAGAAACCTGTCACCTGCGAAAATACACAGCAGCCAATGCAGATATGCATGCTTGGCCAGTGTATGAGCAGGTGAGTGGAAAAGTGGGTTGAGGTGGGAGAGAAGAGACTCAGCATCTTCATTTGTTATAGCTCGCTTATCTTGAGTTGTCTGAAATTTATCTTATGGCTTCTCAGCCATGTTATTACGTTAGGAGAAGATTGAAATATAGTGAATTTATCCTATCTTACTTTCACCATCTTTAGGGCCTCTGATTTGAGGGAAGGTTAGTGGAAAAATACAACAAAATAAAGAGGATCATGGGGCGCCTGGCTGGCTCAGTCGTGGAGCGTGTGGCTCTTGATCTCATGGTTGTGGGTTTGAGCCCCACGTTGTGTGTAGAGATTACTTTAAAAAAAATAAAAGTCTTTAAAAAAAATAATAAAAAACTAAGGAAAAAAAAGAAAATAGTTCTTGAAAAACCACCCAAGAGAACTGAGAGTTTCGGATAAGTGGAGGCCTGGAGAGAGGGTTGCACCACTCCGCCAATATAGGTAATTTAAAATAAAATTTTATTTATTTTTTTCAAATTGCACGTTTGTGTGCCAGCAGAAACTAAAATTACAGATTCTCCGTGTTTTCTGATGGTGAGACTCTGGGTACATACATTCCCCGCTGGTGTCCAAGGCACCCAGCCCTGGAAACTGGATGCCTCTCATCTGCAGAGGAGGCAGCTGATGGCTTGTGCTGGTGGTGTGTGCACAAATGTGGCTGAACTTGGGGCAGATCCAAAAAGGCACATGTTCCCCTTCTTGCTGCCCTGTGTGCTCCTTGAGCTGGGGCGTTGGCAGGGTGGGGGGAGCCTGGACTGCTCCAAACTTTTCCGAGCAGCAGGTGCTTGGGCCGAGCCAACGCCACTAGCTTGCCCGGCAACGGGCTTCCCCTGCTGTGATTGGCTGCTTTCCTTGGTCCTGGCCGAAGTCTGCCTAGCAGCACCGGGACTGACACCCCATAGCCACAGGGAAACCAATTGTGCGGCCCTGACTATAAATACCCGCAGCAGCTATGCCAGCCAATCGTCCTCCTTGAGGATTCCCTCCCCGGATCCTGTTTCCTTCATCTGCCAGCCCAGCAGAGTTGTAGCCAGCTGTGCCTGAAGGAGCCAGCCTCCCTGTCCTCGCTTGAGTCTGGCCTAGAGCTCCAGAGCAGCATCACCCTGGATTGGCGTACACAGTGCTTCTAGCCCTTGGCCAACCCACCGACCTCAGCCCATAGGGTGAGGGTCCTGGCTGGGCCTGCTCATAGGAGAAGGCTGGAGCAGGCAGGTTCTCCAGGGCAAGACCCTGCCAGGTGGATCACAAGTCCAGCCCAGCTCAGTGACCTGCCTATCCACCTTGACTGGCTTCTGCCTGGGCCCCGGCATGGGAAGCCCTGGGTGGCAGATCTGGTTGGGTGCACAAGGAAGATATCTGAGTGGAACCTGTGGAGGCCAGCGCCCCAAAGGCATGCTTATTTCCAGGCCCAGGCACTGGTCCCAGTGGCCACTTCCAGTGGCAGGCCTGACAGCCTTTCTGCAGACCAGTGGAAGGCCAGGGGAGAAGGTGGCAGGCCAGGGTGGTAACCGTGGGGGAACGCCCTGCTGCCACAACCCTGCCCCTTCCCCTGCTCCTCCCCTACCCCCCTGAAGCAGCCTCAGCAAGACGAGGCCGCCGCAGCAGCGGGTGAGGGAGAAATATAGGAAAAGGTGTTGCTTCCCATTGGAGGGGCAGGTAAGCCTGTGGGTTCCCCTTCATGGCCTGTGGCAGGAACTGGGCCTTTCTCACCGCAGCCTGACCCCACTAGGCTCTGAGGACAGCTCTGTGTTCCAAGGACATAAAGATCCCCAGTGCGTGGAGAGAGCTTTCACATAGTGGGGGCCCTGAAAATATCTGTGAACCTGAACAGTACGGCAAGTCACCTCAACTCCTAAGCTGGAGTGGAAGGCAGGCTGCCCCCATTCTGCTCAGAGGGAGGCAAGATGTTGACCTAGGAATCAGGAGACTTGGGGTTCAAGTCCCTGGGGGCAAGGTCTTTAGCCAAAAGTTAAGTGTCCAGGCTGCAGGCCTATTGGCTCTAAAATGGGCATAGGAGCCTCTCAGCCCATTCCACAGAAGGTGTGATGATCAGCAAGGCATCCGTTTGCTCGTTGGCAGCTGAGCCTGGCCACACTGAGGTTGGGACCCATGAGATGTCCCCACCTTCTCGAGAAGAAACCCAGCCTTGGCTGGCACCTGCTGAGAGGCGTGAGGGTGTGTGCACACGGGTTCATAGTCACTTGCTTCTGCATCCAGATGTGTAAAGGTGCTGATTCACGCATGTGTGCACCGTGCAGATGTGCACAGGGGTGTGCACACGTTTAGGCCAGGCCTGGGATGAGCTCACCGCCCCCCACCAGTCTGCTTTTCTTGCAGACACACACAGCTCCCTGCTCTGCCTGGGGCAAATGCCACCATGGTCCCAGTGGTCACCGCAGGTCTGTCTTGCTTCAACAGGAAGCCTGACGGAGAAAGAGCATCCTCAGCAGACCCAGGTCATCACTTCCTACAACAACCAAGGTAAGGGATTCACCACTCCCCTTGGCCTCTCCTCCAGCTCCTGTGTGTCTGTCTGGATCTGCTGTCCAGGCCAGAGACACAGCAAAGACAGAGCACAAAGCACCGTCTTTTCTGCCCCATGGATGTTGGAGCACCCTCTCCCTCTCCTTCTCCCCACATCCCATGGGAAACCATGAAAGGCCGCATGGTGACATGGGAGAGAGCAATCAAGTCCCCCCGCTGTCCTCCTCGCCCTCGCTGTCATCACCAGAGCTAACATTTATGAGAGCTAACCATGTGCCAGGCACCCTGCCGGTCCATTTACATAATTATTCTCCTGTAAATGAAACTTCACAGCACTCCTATTTGATCCATACTCTCAACTGTCCTCAATTTACAGATGAGTAAACTGAGGCTTGGAAAGATTGTTATATGTCCAAGAGCACAGGGCCAGTAAGCGTCAGAGCAGGGGCAACCTGACCCCCCCACCCCCATAGCCTTCCCAAGGCCTCTGCTGTTAACCCTCACACAGCAATGCTTCCACAGCACCTCTGGAAAGCGGCTTCGACCGGCCCCTCGCCCCCAGTCCAAGCTTTCCCTCCTCCTGAGTCACAGCAGTTCCCTGACCTCTCTTTCCGAGACTGAGCCTTTCAGGGCCTTCCACCCAGGGATGAACTTAACTCAGCGAGGACCCTTTCTTGAGAATCCTCACCTTGATGGGTTCTGGGGGGCTCTGGGAGGGCAGGCAAGGGCATCATCATGCTGACTCTGCAGTTGACGAGATCTGAGAACACAGGGTGTTTGTGTTGGGGGGGTAGGGGGGGTGAGGCTGCAGGGGTAGAGACAGGAGGACTCTACAGCTACAGCTGGAGGGGAGACCAGGTTAAATAGAGACACCCCCCCCACTAACCCCCACTCTGCCCCTACACACACACTAACCTCCCACCTTGGTTTCCTGCTCTGCGTTAAAGACTCAGGGCCTGGTACCTGAGAGCTCTCATCGACTCAGCCCTAAGATGGCACCACTGTTGTTCTCAGTGCTGATGTCCTGACTTGTAAGGAAATGATCTGATTATGTCCAGGGGGCAGTGGCAAAGTAGGAGTCCCGGGAGGACTCAGAGCCTCTCAGGGAATTGCTCTCAGAAACACAGACTAACCCAGC